CGGTCCCCCAACAGTTACATCAGGGACCATATTGCAAATAAACTAAATTTTGGGGGATCATATTGAAAACGAACTAAATGTTGTGGGACTATATTGCAAGTTTTAAAAGTTAGGGAACCTAAATGAAAGCTTTAAAAAAGTTCAGTGACCATTATTATACTTTACCCCTTTTTATTCAAAAAGAATTATTTGATCAATCATTTTATTGTATTATTTGTGAGAGAGTTTTGTCATTCTATATAAATCAATTTATTTAAAGAATATTGTAAGTGTGGTATTGAGTGTTTAGAATATTATATTTACAAGTGTTAAATAATTAGTGGGAATTATTTAAGAGATAAATTAGCTAAGATAATATCATAAAGAAACATCTACAACTATTATGTGTAATAAAGTTGAGAATCCATATTTTTTTATATTAAAAATATTATAAAATGTTTCTCTCCGACTAAAATTCCGTAAAATTTGTTGATCTAAATTGCATAAAAAAAACTCTATTATAATTTTCTTTACATTTTAATTTTTATTTATTCATCCAAAGCTTAAACATTATTCGATAAAATTCCACTACGCTTTTTCGTATCTCGACACATTCATTACTTTTCTTACTGTCAATATTATTGCTTAATGAGTTTAGCATCTCGTTAGCAGCTCGAACTCGACTCGGTCAAAATTTGATAAACGTTCAACTCGAGTTGGCTCGACTCGAATTCAAACTCGACTCGAGACCTTAACGAGCTGAGTCGAGCAAAGTCTAACTTGACTCGATAAGTTCGCGAGCAACTCGTTAATTTTTTAAAATATATTTTAGTAATTACTTCAAAATTATTTCATTCAAACGACCGAGAAAGAAGATGAATAATATGCCACCAATGTGAGAAAAACGTGTCACAAAGACATAATTATTCTTATTAAAAAACTAAAAAGGAAATAAAGAAAAAAGAGAATTAGCAGTCAGTAACTAACATTAAAATCGTTGTTGACATTGACTAAACAAAATTAAAGAAAAATTATTTTGATCTTTAAAAAAAACGATATAAACTTTAAAGAAAAAAAATTACAGTCAGAGTAATCAATTGTAACATAATTTGTTAAGTTTTTTTTTCTATCATATTATTTTTCAAAAGTTTGTATTATTTCAATGTTATTATAATGAATTAGTTAATAATTATCGTTTTTTTCTATATTATTTGTACGTGTAAGACTCGAATGGAGTGGCATATCATATATTTTTTTTCGCCACCTCCAATTAAGATTGGGTAATATAATATATTAAATAAGGGTAAAGTATAGTAATGGTCACTAAACTTTTCTAAAGCTTTCATTTAGGTCCCCAAACTTTTAAAACTTACAATACAGTCCCCTAACATTTAGTCCGTTTGTAATATGGTCCCCCAACAGTTACTTCGGGACCATATTACAAACGGACTAAATGTTGGGGGACCATATTGAAAACAGACTAAATGTTGGGGGACTATATTGTAAGTTTTAAAAGTTGAGAAACCTAAATGAAAGCTTTAGAAAAATTCAGTGACCATTACTATATTTTACCCTAATCAATATTATAATAATATATTACGTTATCATCGATTGAAATAATCTCTCATTTATTTTGGTGTTATTATTATCAGACCTTAATTTACGTTGGTATAATAATTTGTATTTTAAGTACGAATAAAATTATCTTAGCGATTAAAGGAATTATTATTATTTTTAGAAGTTTCAGGTTCGAACATCAACAATTAAGAAGGAGTAATTGAACGTTCATTCTCAAATAATTGAGAATATTTGAAACAAATATTTGTAATTGCATTAACTTATTGAAAAATAATCTATATTTTAATTGATACTTTATGTTTAAATAGATATTTCTTAAAATTTATTTTTTGAGATATTTCTAACTTATTAGGGTGCGCTTAGTTCGCGGAATGTAAGATTACTAGTAGGAATAAAAGATTATCGGAGAATATGATTACTGAGAATGTTGTATTTTGTGTTTTGTTGATTTAACAGGAATGTAAGATTACAGTGTTTGGTTAAAGGAATAAAATATTATTGGAATGTATATTTTACCAAATTGTCCTTATTATATATTTGTTTGTTTATCAAGTTGAATTCTATTATAATATTACTATAATTAATTTGTATATTTTCTTTAAAAATTTTAAATTCATAAAATTTATATAATTTTTTTTACAAAATTGAAAAGAAAAATAGGTTTAATGAAAGGGTAAAAATTTTATTTTAACCCCTGAACTTCATATAAATTTTTAATTATAGACTTTTTTTGTAAATCTAAAAAAGGTTAAAGATAAATTTGTAATTTAACATTCGTAGAATTTTTATTATTCAACTACAGAAGAATGATATTTTTGAAAAAAAAATAAGGGTATTTTAGTCCAAAACGCTGGTAATCCAACAATACCTAAGGGAATGGGTAATCACATTTCCCGTAATATACTCAAAAAAATCCACTGTTAGTAATAAAAGATTATCGAGGGCTGGGAATGTTGGCCAACCAAACGGGGGAATGAGGAATCTATTCCCCCGGTAATAAAATATACCTTGAACCAAACAACCCCAAGGATATATAATTAAAAATATCAAATTAATCGATGGTTTTATGGCTAAATATCTCAATTTTAATTGATATATAATTGTAAAAATTTGAGTGAATAACTTATGCTATTAATATTAAAAAAAAATTGATTTTGAAATTGCCTACGGGTACATGAATTTTATCACTCAACTTCTTTCTCATTCTTATTCAGGTCACCAACGTTTAATCTTTTAATTTAGGTGTAATACAAAAATAAGTATCCAAATTATGCCTCAAAAAAAGTTTTAATGCCTAAAGAATTTTTTGTTAAAAATATGTGTTTAACGTTTTCTCAATTATATTTTTAGGTGCATACTGCTATTTTTTTTAGTTTTTTTATAAATAAAAAATATTATTTTTAAAAGGAAAAAGGAAAAAGGAAAAAGGAAAAAGGAAAAAGGAAAAAGGAAAAAATAAAAAATAAATTATTTAAAAAACCCAAAGTTTTCAAAAGTTACAAAATAACCCCGATTGGGTTTTCACCGGAGCTTCGAAGCTTCCTCCACGGCAAACTAGGGTGCTACTCAACGAGGGGGTGGTTGGTTTTTTCTCAGCGTGAGATGGTACTCTCACTGATGGAAGCGGTGACGGTAACGGTTGGCGAAGAAGGATTCGACAGAGGGGGAACAAACAATTTTTTACTGTTTTGTGATGATCAACGATCGATTTGGGTGATTGTTGGTCGGGATTGAGGTCGTGAGACGTCGAAGAATCTACTGGTAGTGGTTGTGTACGCCACCAGCTATCGGTGACTGTGGTGCCGGGAAAGAAGGGGGAAGGGAGAAAGGGGAGACAGGTGGGTGGGAGATTTTTTTGAATTTTTTTTTTAAATATATTTTTTTAATAAAATTATTTTTATTTTTTAAATAAATTCTTAAAATTATAAGAATGTAACATGTGTCACTTAATAGTGATTTTTAACGGCGAGCACCTAAAAGTGTAACGTTTAAAACATTAGACACCTATTTTTAATGAAAAATTCTTTAGTCACTAAAACATTTTTCGAGACATAATTTAGACATTTATTTTTATATTAAACTTTTAATTTAATCATAAAAACTTTCGAATTACTTCTATTTTAGTCCCTGATGTAGAACAACATAACGGCAGGAAATGTTTTTGTTTTTGCTGATATGCATTATTGTGTGCTAAGTTGCTAACGTGAAAATTATGTGTTGTTAACCTCATTTTTAACCCCTTTACAACAATTATCATCCAATATAAAGTTTGTAAAAGTTAGGGTAAGTATCCGATGCTAGCAAAAGATTAACCAACTTCCTAAATTCCACTCAATAGCGTAAAATATAAGAGGTTGATCCGGTCATTCTAAATAGTATTTTTATAGATTAGCATGCAAATATGAAACATAGAAAACTTCAAAGTAATTGTATTTTGAATACAATCACAGTGGCGATATCGAGGGCAAACTATGAAACACTTCAACAAATATGTTCAGCATTTAATGCTTGCAAATTAATTTTGTTAAACATAAAATAACTAAGAGGTCACTCCAAGCAATATAAAGCGCATAATAAAAGAAAATGTCATAACATGCGTCTATCTATTCACTAACTATTTAATGATCAAATTAATGACCAAAATAAAGTAAAGATAAAATTAAGTGACAAAAAATTTGTAATTTACCATATAATTACAGGCATATATACTTTCCTTTGTCACCGAGTTCTACCTTTTTTACTAACACAAATAGTATAAATGAAATAAAAGACATTTATATATTTTCACCTGAAAACAATAATTATTTATCTAATTTTTAAATGAAATAACTATTTATAGTATAAATGAAATAATTATTTCTATTTTTTAAATATCAACAATATTTTTCATTTAAATAAAAGTATTACACGAACCATGTGACCTCAGTGGTAAAAAAATCGTTGTTATTCCTTGAGATTTCGAGTTCGAACACCAAAAATGTTAGGAGGTGAGCATTCAATGTCAAATGGTTGAGAATTTATCTTTAAACATATATTATCTTGTACTTACCCTAAATTAATAAAAAATAAATAAAACTGCTATATGTTAAAAAAATATCAAAACTTTTAATACATAATTTCCCTTTACAAAATATAATAAATGAAACCTCCTCATAATGCTAAGAGTGGGCCAAATTATTATATTTTCTAAATACTTCTATTAATGGATTATTATCCAAATAATAATCCTTTAATAAATTCACCCACATGTTTGAATATCAAACTTTGCATTTCAATGCCGTTGCTTAGTAATTCAAACAATTTTAAAATTTATATTAACACAAAATATCAACAAATCAGAATTTACATAAATATAAAAAACCTTAGATGTGATTATTACATTAAAATTATGAATATTTCTCTTTTTATATATATATATAATCATGATCCTAACTCACAAGTTAAAAAAGAAAAAAGTAGAGCCAAAATTTCCAAAAGTTATGCGTGCACTTTGAAAATAATACATGGAAAATAATACAAGGTAAAGATTTAACTCACCTATCAAGGCAATCGAAGCTCATGCATGATCCCATGGTGACTTGCGACAAAAGAATGCAGGTCTTCCGAAATCATATGTATCATCAACAAGTGAAACACAATGCAAATGAAACTGAAACTGAAGAAAACTTTTATATTTTAAAAAGAATATGGCTACCGGGTGGCGAATAATCTGCACCGACGTTGATTGAGATTCGGGGATCCTGTTGCCTGTGTGCCACGAACATTTTTATTGGGAGGGTCCACTGGAGGTCTAAAAGAGGCATATGCAGCTTTAACCGGATCGGGAGCAGATTCCACTGGAAGTGACTCCACGAAGCATGATGTGTTGATGCGAGTCCTCTCGAGCTCTGCTTGCAGCAATTCGGAGCTATATTGCTGCGCAAGAGCCTGGGGAAAACCAACATGTTACGATGGTATTGATTGAATGGAACCGAAAACACAAAAGATTGAAACTATGATAATGGCTCCTGACATGAAACTAATCTGGAAACTACTTGATATGCCCGAAACTGCAGTTCTTCTCATTCATCTCGGTAAAGAATGATTTTATAAAAGCAAATGAATGAACAGCCAACATGTTCAAGATGTCTCCATAAAAAGACAAATATGGGCAGGTATCCTAGAAGGACAAGAATCTTACAATCAGGTCATCTGGAGATAAAGATGCCCCTTGCAGTTTCTCATCTGGAACAGCATCTTCACTTCCACGAGTCGGCCTCCGGTTGTGCATTGGATTTTCAACCTCAGAGAGGCTTTCAGTGGCTTTCTCCAACAGCACACCTTGTAAAGACTTCATAGATTCCCTAGCATCACTTGTGAAATATGGATTTAAAATGGTCTCAAAATATTCAAGCTGCAAAAGACAGCTCGAAAAATCAACCGCATAGCACAAATGGATACATCACTTCCCTCTGACAATTCATTTCAACATCGGGTGAGCAAAAGGGAAAAGGAACTACGGTGTGGAATATGTGAATTTTCCAAAATCTACGAAAGAAAAGAACCTAGTGCTTACAAACCATTAACAACCGGTTCCAAGATCTATCGAAGGATGTTAAAATCACAAGGCACAGATATCAGTAATTTGAAAGAGTTTCAATTCCATCATGCTTGCAAACAATAGTAAGTATTAAATCATTGTAGCACATAAAAGGGAAGCAGTAATCAATTGTCAGAATCAAGAACATTACAATACTATAGAAAAACATGATATATACCTCGAGCATGATCTGGCAGAAACCATTTGTATCAAGCGAACCGAGATCTTTACTTTCGTTCTCATGGAAAAGGCTGATTAAAGTATCAATTAGACCTTCCACAAGAATGCCAAGTGTCTTGTCCAAGAGAGGCTTAGCACCAGCAAAGACCTGGATGAGGTATCAGTCAAGCAGACAAAATTATTGAGTGTATTAACCACTAATAATTGTTTAAACAGATCAGTAGAGATGATGCTTCATAGTTCAAATATGGATTCTCTGACAGATTGTCAAGGAGATGAGCGATGAAAATAATCACTTATGCAGCTCAAACCCAAAAAAACAGAGAAATACACCCAAAAAAAGTTCATATGTCAACACATCATACAGTGGTATTTACCTCAGCATGTACAGCTACTAGAGTATGTAATAACTCAACAGCTGCATCTCTCACACCCTGAAGGCAGAAGCAATTTGTGTCATCACTTGAGGATAAATCTATGCTTACGAAGCTGACCAGAGAAATTATTAGATAAACAATTATGAAATCAAAAATTCTTACTTTTACTGCAGGTGTTGATCCCCACTGAACACCAGAATCTAACAAATAGTTCGTGGCAGCTGTCCTAATCAAAGTTGCCTGATGTAGGGGGGAAATTAGAACATAAAAAAAAAAAAAAATAATGCCCCACAAACAATGTCAATGATGGGAAAGTGTTCCATCAATAAAAGTTCATATATTGGCTATCCAATCAGTTGATAATACTTGAAGTCCATCAAAAGGCTCACAAAGCTTACTAACTTTCCCCATTATATTTGTGGCTGTGTGTGCTTGTTCTCTTTCCAAAAAAATCAATAAATCAATGATGTATGACAATCTTGTCATACCTTTGCAAAAGTATACTGCTCAAGGACCTTCTCTTCAAGTCCCAAAAAAGACACCACTAAGTCTTTTATGTCTGTTTCCCCTCCATCTTTATCCCTACAGCATTTACACGCCATTGTATCAACAAAGAATGCATAAAATACACATGTTCTATGTCAAGATTTAAATATGTGATTGAGCAACTGAAAAACTTGAGCTAACATGGGTTAGCTTGATGGGCCAGGTGATTATTTCTATTAAGGAGACGAGGTATAATCTGAATAGATAGCTGAATACACTGCAAGAATGAGGTCTCATCCTGATGCTGTATGAAAGAATGACTACAAATACCCAGCAATAATAATTTTTAGCATTATTGATGCTCAAGGTATCAGTTGTGAAAAAATCCCAGCATACCTGGGTTGTAGCCAAATGCATTTGTATTTGTTGTACAACTCGGAAGAAAGCTCATCTTTGCAGTATCCTATATTACTTAAAACTATTAACAACCGTTGATGTGGATCAACAATACTTCCTGGGACATCAGATGATAATTCCTCCTCTGATTCATGGGTAAACCCATTTTGCAAGTGCAGACTTTCTTTGCTTGATTTATTTTGGGCGAGCTCAATGCCAATATGCTCTAGATGGCCTAATCAACATGCGCATAATGTATGTCAAACTGTCAGCAGTTCAAAATTCTTCTAAAGAAAATAAGACGTCATTTATCATACCAGCAAAATCCAGGAAACAGTTCAGAAATGCAATCTTAACCGATTCTTGAATTTCTTGAAGTTGTGCAAACATATCTTCGAACTTTGTAGCCTCGCTCCTCAGAGACTGGATCATCCTTGCATAAATAAGACGGGGAAATCATATGAAACAGCTTTAAAAAAGAGCACAATCATCCGTCTCATATAATGCTAAAGAAAGCATCTTTCCCAAGTTTTAAAAGAGGCAAAAAATTCACCAAGAAAGACCAATATTATATACTTCCCCATTATATATGATATGCTTGACACAAAATACCCAAATAGCTATCAGGATGCTCAAGACAAAAGGCCTTTTTCCAGTCAGACAACATCAAAAAAATATGGATAACAAAAAAAAAATTCATATAACTGGACAACTATAAAATTTAAATGTTCTCAAATTTGCATTACTGCCATGAATCAGAAACTCCTACCAATGTTCTGGCTGTATATCTCGGCAGATCACAAAACATGCCTCCTGCATGGCAGCAAGCATACAAAGAACACCTAAGACTATTCAAGTTTTTTTTTGACAACTTAGCTCCACATGTTCATTTTAGACATGAGATTGTAAAGAAAAAATAAGTTGGTAATGATAAATGAGGGCAAATAGATAATTTAGCTCTAAAGTTATTTTCCAAAATCCAAAAGCTAAATATTTTAGCTTTATGGTTTGGGTTAAAACCAATTTGAAAAGCACTTCTGACTTGAAAACCCAAAGTTTAGCATTGCTTATGGTTTGAAAAGCTTGTTTGAGGTGAAAAGTACTTTTCAAAAGTAGTGCTAAACACACCCTTACTCTACTCACATGGCATTGTAACTAATTATGCCACTTAGAAATTCAACATCATAAGCTTTAGATACTTACATATTGATCTGATCTACTGCTGAGGTCATAACTGAACGAAAAGCCAAAGGTAAATAAGAGATGGTGTAAGGAGATTTGTTCCTTTCAAGTTTAGATACTGGGACCCAAGTTTCTTCTTTAGTTATTCTCTCTGTTGTTGCTCGCATCCAAGAACAAAGTCTTAGTATGTAAATCTTTGTAACCTCTGCTTGAAGTGTCCTGAGCGCCATGACTGTTGGATGAAAAAGGAAGCAATCAGAATTGTTGGAAGTCAAAGGCAGCTTCAGAGATAGTTGGAATACCAGCTATAGGAGGAGCAGCTTCTTTTGCTTCAAAAGCAAGACAAATTTTAGATATTTCCTTTATGGCATCACTCATGTACGACTGAAGATTAGATTCTTCAAGATCACGGAATGCATTGAGGACCTATATCAACAGCAAACCCAGTAAGAGCTACTCAAAAGTAAACGATACGTGACAAATGCAAGTCAATTGGACTGGAAACTTTGCAGTTTGATTGTTAGATAATATAATATTTTGAGGATCTCTTACTCATATTTTAAACCAAGAACAAATTTGACTGAATGAAGGACCAAATATTGTTCAGAAGGGAAGAACCCACATATTTATGTTTAAAGAATCCAGTCAAGATATAAACCATGCAAGATATTCAACAGTTCCAAGCAAACAATATTCACCTTGATTTTATATACAGATATTGTACCACGCAGCATTCCTGCAACTTCATTAAGAGAATGACTTGAGTATCTCCCGTCTCCAACTTTTTCCTTGCTTTTACTTCCCGAGGAATCAGAAACCTGAGAAGACTGAAAGGCAAAACCATTATTATATTGAAAACTAAGAAAAGGCACTTATGAAAATGAATATACGACCATAGAAAATAAGCAGAAATTATAGGGGAAAAAAAGATGTGCTCTTAAACTATAACTACTATATGAGAAGCAACTTGTATGTATTATGTAATGTTATATAGTTCATAATATTAACAATTTTTGCAAAAATGATTTAGACAATGTTCAGAGCACCTTTGCAAATTTCCCACTAAAAACAGAAAGTGCCACTTTCCAGAAAGCTGGTATGTGCTGCACAAGTACAGTGGTAAGCCGCTTGATATATTTTCCTCTAAGAACATCAACTTCTTCACCAGTCAAGGCCAACGATTGCAATTCTATAGGCAGTTCGGAGTTCCCAAAAGTGTAGTTGGCATCTGACTGAGTATTAGGAAAAAAATAGAAGAAATAAATCTCATAGTTAGGCAGAGAGCCAAGAGTTTCTCCTCATACAATTATCAGATCATCATTCACACTAGTAGCACTTACAGAGTTCTGTTGAATTTGAAGCCACTTCGCGTCAGAGATGGCTTTTTCACGTAACTCATTATGCAATGTTTCCATCCGTGCTTCATGATCTGAAGTGCACTTCTCAAGCAACCCTCGAATTCTATGATTCTATCAAATAAAAAACCAGTACATTTCAGATACCTGACCTCCTGAGTGGCTGATTGTAAGCTAATCGTGCTGGTAGCAGGCTTCTTGGAATAGAACACATTATTAAGTTCAAGTTACTTGAATACAATTCAACTCAAAAACTGATTGTTCAGAAGCACTCCAGAACTTCCTGGATTCAACTCTCATCAGGTTCACTATGGAGTAGGTGGTTTTTAAGCATGCAAAGTTGGTAGCACACTTCTCGGAATAGAACATATAATCAAATTAATTACTTGAATAGAAAATCAACTAAAAGTTATTTGTTTAAAAGCACTCGAGAGTCAGCAATTTGATTCCAAAACTGATTTGATCAGAAGCACTCAAGAGCTTCCTGGAATCTACTCTCATAAGGTTCAAGTTGATCAACAAGTAAACTATATCTGCTAAAGCCCAAATCAACCACTCACAAATACTTCCTGATTTAGAAACAAATAATTTTAAAACGAACACTCAGGAGATAATCCAAAACCTAAATTGCCCAATTTCTCAAAAAACAAGTCCCAAATTATCAAATTTGAACTCACAGTCTGACAAGACCATATTTATACGAGGGTTGGGAGAATAGGGTTATTGTATTAGAAGCTCATACAACCCAAATAAGAAAGAAATTTTCGTTCTAAATCTTCACTTAAATAAGTGTTATGCAAAATTTTGGATAAAGGCCACTAGCATCGTAGATGCAAGGGCACTTGTTTTGGGTTTGGGGGATGGAAATGAGAATTATAGCCATTTTATTTGACTTTACTGGACAACAGAACAATCATCTTACGAGAAAAATGCCCAGTGCTTAATAAAAAAAACATGTAGCAAATATACATGTGGACTAGAACATTTTCATTAGTCAGAAAAGGAAAAAATATATAGAGAATTTTGGCACTTTATTGAAGAGTTCACGATTCACTAACCTGTACATTTAAATAATGCCATACTGGATCTGATTCAGGTTCAAGCTCCAACAATAACCTTACTGTATTCTCAATCTACATGAGACAGAAATATCATAAATACTTATCAGACAGGTAGAATTTGTTCAAAGTTTCCATGCATTAAGTTGTATTTTCCTCAAAAGAATACACAAAATTAAAGCATGTCAAATAGATTCTCTTTGATGGATCTATTTACTAATACAACAACAACACAACAAGGGTTAATGGAAATGCATTATTTATTCAGTGTTTCTTGGATTTTGAGAAACTTGTCACAGTACATCAACCTAAATCATCATTTCTAGAATAATCAAAAGCTTAAAAAATAAGAGTTCCCCAATTTTTTTTTCCTAAACTTAAAAAGCAAATAATATCAATAAAACAACATTTTGATGAGACAATACACACACAACAATGTTAATGGGCTTCTTTACCTTCTGAGATGAAAAGAAGAAAAAAAGACCATAAATAGTCAAAACTGTCTTTTACATGAGAGCAATTACAACTGATATAAAATAGGAAGCAAAGAATAGCACATTAACATCTTTACCTAACCAGTCCTTACAAACTGCACTACACTATCTTCACTAGTCAAACCACCACCATTTTATTCCATCGTAGATTAATGAAAACTAGCTGATGCCCTTAGCTTAATTTACTCCAGGGTCAGTTGATCTTTTCTATTTGCTTTCCACATCAACATTCTACTATGTTACTACAATCTACAATCAACCATCTAAGACAAAAAAATTAAAATGTGTAAATAACATTACACATCTATCGAATATATTTGGATAAAAACAGGATAAATTACATTTTTTTTAAATGATCAAGTGTTATGTTAATTTTCAGATAGATCAAGATTCCATGTTCAACCATCCCATAGCTTTTCAGCATAATATTGCATAATTCTACTCCTGCTAAGGGATCAACAAGGGCAGATAGATCATGGAACATTACAACTCAAATGGAAACAGGTGCATTCTGACATGGGTAATTAATGGAAATCTTTTCATTGACTTCTCAATAGTAGACATTTGGTTTGTAGAACTAGCAAGTTCTCTTTTCTCTACATCCCCACCCAAAGCTTACCCAAGTACCTCATAATTTTTTTTAAGACTGACTTTAACATTATAGAATTGATTTAGTGGCAAAAAAGCTTGCATACCATGGTTTAGTAAGCATCAAACAATTGTTATGTTGCAAGAACTTTTCATTTTTTAAATTACCTGTTTTCTACACCTATGGCTGACACATATTTAGATATAGGTATTGGAAGTATAATCCACCACATATCTATGTTAAATACATATCTGAATCTAACACTCACCCCAAAGTCCAGATTAAGGTAGAGCAATAGTATTTTAATAACACGGGCATTAAAATTCAGCAAACATCGATGGACAATCTAGGTCTTAGGTCAACTTCAATTGTACATCTCCTCACAAGTAAAAATTGTAAAATTTTTGAAAAACACATGTCAAACGCTTACGCTTGTCAGGTCTATTTTTGGATCTTCCATGGACTTGTAAAGCGTGCCTTTGAATTCTTGCCTCACTCTTTCAACTTCTTCAAGAACTCTTTTCAGTATATTTACCTGACAATAAAGAATAATGTTAAGTTTGTCTGCTTATGCAGGAAAAGAGCAATGCCATGTGAAATTCTATTAACTATAGATTATAGGTATAGTATTCTTCAACCAATACATAATGTCTTCACAAATTTACCTCTTGCAAAGGTCCCTGTCTATACAGACTTGAGTGGAAATCAATACTAAACTGAGAATAAGACCACCAAAATTAAGTGAAACATGCATAAAAAATAAAAGGGCCCAACACCTGATGTCAGCCATCAAGGAATCAATGCATATAAATAATGTATACCAGATTAGTTTATAAATGCAAAGGATTTATGGCTAGAATTTAACTAAAACCATGCTCAACATCAAACAATCTGTTCACCACTTGCACCGCAACCAAATACCAGACCAACCATGTTCAAGCATTTAAAAAAACCCATCTTCTACATAACAATTTCAAGCATTCTGCTTACGTGCGAGGGGAGAGCGATTGATTTTGCCTTCTTGTATTCCCTTACAGCCAAATCATATTCACCCTTACTAATGCTCCCACGAATTGTACTAGGTAAATTAAAGAGTGTCCTGAACCTCTGAAGTGTTCCTTGGACAGACCTGATCTTCTCAGCTTGAGCCTACATCAAATCACAAATAAAAATAAAAATCATATCCCATGCTATTTGAATATCACAATCATAAATGAATTTGAAAGAAAACTAAGATGTTCAGTTACCAAACCTGTCTCTCAAATAGAGGCTCAAAGGCGTGTTCTGCCCGTGAACATACTCCTTGCATACAGTTATGCAAGTGAGTTGTCCCTGAACCTTCGGAGTCTTCCTCAATTTGCTTCAGTTTTGACTCGATATCTATGCAAATACCATCTCCACATTAGCACTGTTTGCAAACAGCTAAAATTCTACGAACTTATATGGCAAAGAGTATGTGAAGAAATTGGTTTTCAGCCCATCAAAGATTTGCACTGCCACAGTTAAAATAGTACCAGAATCAAGTGAAGAGAGGTGTTTTACCATCAATTGTGGTTTTGCATGAAACAAAGCAGTCAAAATTATCTTTAACCAATTGTTTCCTCTGTTGAGTCCGCCCTTGGAGATCTGTTTTTAGAGCAAGAGCTCCAGCCTCCAAGTCTGCTGCATGTGTATGTTGGTGTATTCGGGATAGAAACAATTTTGCATCAAATTTTTCAGAGCAATACATCAACTTCTCTGCAAAGTTTCACCCAAAAAAATTACATAATTCACTGGCATTTTACTTATCCAAAAATTACTGGAATCAGTGTTTTAGGCATTAAATTAAAATATTCAAGGGAGAAAAAGCAGCTCGTTGAGGAATTCAGTCGAGGTGATACCCATCTAAAATAACTTAAGATTGCAAATATACAGTTTGAGAGAGTGATGCTGTTATTAAAGTCTATAACAAAGTATAATCTGGAGAAAACATATTGAAAGACAAGCAAAAAATATACCACGGAGGTTACTATCGATATGATCTTTCTCTTTATCATAATAAGTGCTTTCAGATGATTCAGTGATCAACCTTAAGGTCTTGTTGTCTACTATCCTGGCAATCATACAAAACACAGGTCAGCAGAAAAACTTATAGCAAATGAAAATTGAGGAACCACCGACTCTGGTTAAGGCTAGGAAAAAAATGACCAGGCAACAATTCACGTTATCAAATTAGTACAATAATTAATAATAGAACTAACTTTGCTCACGGTCTTACTTTAATGAGACATAACATAGAGTGAATTCCTCTAAACTAAAGAAAAAATGAATATCAGGCAAAAAGAAGTTGCTGAAAAGATTTACCCTATTCCAAGTGGATCAACAAATTCCATGCCACGAGGTAACGATTGCAGAGTGTTAAGCACTCTCCCCGCTGGTGCGGTTGCTTTGCGCTCGAACTTCTGTGCCACCGGAGCTCTTCTCGACTCTCTCATCTCGCGAACCCTACAAGCAAGCTACCAAAGAAGAGCTCCTGCTTCACTAATCATAAATTCCAATAGCTACTTCAATTTTTAAAAATTCATTGAAGAAAAAAATGTACCTCATCTTCATCGACACGTTTCCATGTATCAGGCTCTTCTCCATCCCACACTCCATCGTCGTCTTTCATCGGCCTCCCTCCAGGTCTCCCTCCGACTCCTCCCTTCGGATCTCTCCCTTCATCCTCATCTCCACTCGAAATGCTCAGAATTTCCACTTCCGAATCCTCGTCTTCATCCATTGACATCTTCCTACCCGTCGGCTTTTTCTGTGCCTGTTTCGCCGGTTGAACGAAGTTCACCACCGGTTTACGAGAATTGGAGGAAGACGGTTTCTCGTAATTCAGATCCCGTTGGGATTGCTCCTTCAATGCTCTTTGAAGGAGCTAGTCTTCGTCATCGCTATCGCTTGACATTTTTGGCGCAACTTCTTCGCTGCTTTTTGGCTTAGATCTGATCAATTATACGAAGGATGATTTTTTTTGTTAGAAATTGGATGAAAATGAGTTTCCTTGCATCGAGCCAGAAATTGAGAGCAGTAATATCGTCATGTCACTCGGGGGTTCGATGAGACTATTCTACAATTTCTCGAACGGCAGTGCTTGTCTTTGAATATGGAAAAGTCTAATAAGTTGTCAAACTTTTTGTTATTGTGCTTTTGAGTCCCTTATGGGTTTTTAATGTTCAATTTGGTCCTCAGTGTCAATTCCATAGTAAATTTCAGCTTTTATATGGATAGATCGTGGAAATCTATTAAATTAGTTCAAGGTGGATTTTATTTTGACAATTGAATAAAAAAATATTAATTAAGTTAATAAGCTTTTAACTCAATTTCAATAAAATATTAATAGTTAATTTTTTTATTAGCATAAATATTTTTATATAATAATTTATTTATAATATGTGATTGACTAATTTAGATCAATTATTATAGAGATATTATAGAACGACTTCCTAAATCTAATTCTTTCTATTTATAAGCTCAAAATTCGAACCCCACCGAATCAATAGTTAATTGTTAATAGACTTCTCAAGATAACAATTAAATAAATATGACATTATTTATATATTTTATTAATTTGATTATAATTGAGATAATAATTTATTTGATCTTCATTGCTTACATATTCTGTCAATTTAATTCCAATTTTTATTAAAGATCATAAACATATAATTATAGAAAAAATAAAGATATTACAATTTATAACTAAATCGATAAGTTAAGTTTCGAATGGTTAAAGTAATGTTGTTAGCTCTTACGATCAACCGAAACTGTAAGAGGAGTGTGAAATAACTTTTAAAAAATTTGGTGCAGAAACAATTGAAAGTGAAACTTTTACACAATGATTTAAAGTGGTTCGACTTTATTAATCAAAATCTACATCCACTACCTTAGCGTTTATGCTAAAGATTTCTCAAATCCACTAGATTTGCTTACTTAGGACAATGTGTAACCTTACAAACACTTCAAGATTTACAACCCAAAATCTTGAATTACGCATTCTCCCAAAGAGTAATTACAAATAAAAAAAGAAAATAAAACCTCACAAAAGGCAAATGTGTTGTCCTTGTTTACAACAAATAAGCCTTCACCAAAAATACACTTGAGCAAAATAAACAATGTTGTCTGCAAATATGTTTACAACAAAGAATTTGATAAATTAAGTACGAAAGAATATTTTTATGTTGGTAGGTTAATTCCATATGGTTCTTGATGACCTTGAGATGATTAGACCTTAGATTTATATCTTATATATCAATTCTAGCCGTTTGGAGTCATTGACAGTCATTATAGTCGTCACCTACAATAAAAAATAACATTTAATACACAAAAGATCGATCCTTTGATAAATCATTTTTCAAATATTTTCGACCATTGCAAGAAAGGGATTGATCCTTTAAGGGAAGGGATCGATCCGTTTCATCGGAGGATCGATCATTTGATGAAGGGATAAGTTTTTGGAATTCAAAGGATCAATCCTTTAAGCCAAAAGTCATTGAAAACTCGATATTAAAGCACAAAAATGATCAAGTATGTTTTTGAAAAGGTTCGACTAAGTTGGAAAATATTTAAAACATATTTTTCAAGTTAATTTGGACTTTGAATTATTTTTGATAAATTATTGACGAGTTAATTTGAACTTTGAATTATTTTTGATAAATTATTGACGAATTCGATTAAGTCCAAAAATCAATTTTACAAATTATTATTATATCAAAGGTTTAAATGCACCATTGCCCCCCTAAACTATATTATTTGTACCTAGTTACCCTCTAAACTATTTTTTGGGACGTTTCGCCACGTTAACTTTAAATTGTTAATCCGTTTGTCCCGAAACGTTAATTCCGTTAAAAAATCTCTCTAACCAATTAGAACAAGCGACATCACTATTTATTTTAATTTATTTTATATAAATAAATAAAAATCAATAAAAAATAAAATAACATAATATGTCAAAAATACCCCTCCCTTCTCTTCCTCCATCATCCACCCTCCCTTTCCCCAACACCAACACTAATTTTTCCCCTTTCTCCACTTCTCCAACACCGACACCGTCCACCCCATCTTCTTCCATGTCCAAAAGTTTTTCAACCACCATTTCAAAAGTTTCTCAATCACCATTTCCCTTAAGCAATCAACTCCGGAAATTCTCCCCAATTTGTTGATCCGGATAAAATCCTAGAAAGAAAAAATCCAACCAAACAAAACTTGCATTGCAAAAATGCAACAGTTTAGGAAGAAATTATCCCTAAACTACTATTATTTAAACCGGTAACTCAAAGACTTTGAGAGAGAGAAAGAAGAAATAGTTCTTCTCTCTTTTTGGTCACTAGTAATGGCTTTCAAGCTCTTCACCTTCCTTATTCTTCTTCTTCTTTTTCAAATCTCATGTTCAACGCTCTCATTTGCATTGCGAGAGAACTCATCGGCGACGAATCACACGAGAGGTTACCAAGTTGGTGGAGAAGGCTTTGTTATTGTAAACCCTTGAAGAAGTTGTGCGCAAACACAATATCACCATTTTCGCTCCCAAAAATGAAGCTCGGGATCTCGACCCTGATTTCAAGCGGTTCTTAATCAAGTTTGGTAATCTCAAGTCTCTTCAAACTCTTTTGCTCCATCACGTTTGCATGTTAAGATTATTCCGAAATCGAATTCGATGTTAACCCACAACCAAGTCAAACTCAACGACGACGATTCGTCCGGTGGCAAATTCATCGGTGTGGCTGAAGTCATTACTCCCAACGCTATCAATCGAATAATCAGAGATCAAGGGATTCTAGAACTTGGGTAACTGGGAACAAGACCTTGCTTTCGGTGATGCTAGAATGAAATATGTAATTAAAATGGGTGTTGGGGAAAGAGATGGTGGACGGTGGAGGAAGAGAAGGGAGGGGCATTTTTTGACATATTATGTAATTTTATTTTTTAATTGATTTTTATTTATTCATATAAAATAAATAGTTGGTCAGTAATTTTTTTAACAGAGTTAACGTTTTGGGACAAACGGAATAATTATTTATAATTAATGAGGCGAATTATTTTGAAAAATAATTTAAGGCGCAAATATGCATTTAAGCCGACTAAAATTTTTTAATAATGAAGTTGAAAAAAATATTTGCTCGAATAATGCACTCAAGAGATTATTTCGTGAAATAGGGTGAATGCTATAGTGAACCCCAAAGATACATTGCAGTACATGCAACTTACCCGAACCCCTTGAAGACGCATTGGAATCCATACGTCTTACCTTGCTCCCTTCGAAGACGTATGGCAATCCATACGTTTTCCCCCTGCATGCAACATCCACCAGCAGCCCCACCGTTCACCGCCTAGTGCCGACAAGCGCCTCAAAGATGCATGGATTACCATTTGTCTTCCCCCTGCATGCCACCACCGAGTCCCGACAAAGCCATCGAAGACGCATGGATTGCCATGTGTCTTCCCCCTTGCATGCAACGTTCGTGGACCCTTGCAGGCGTCATACGCCCGTGAATCCTCTGCATGCATGGTAACAATAATGGCGTGTAATACCACGTGAATCTGCATGCATGACATCAATAATGCTGCAAGTATTGCAGTAATAATGGTGGGAGTAGGGAGGGACGACTGGGGTTGTGGTTGGAGGCATTGAGGTTGGGTTATATATATATATATATATATATATATATATGAGGTGTAGGGAGGGAGGGTTACACCGGGAGTGAAAGAAAGAAGAGAAGAAAAAAGAGAAAAGAGGAAGAAAGAAGAGAAAAGAGAAAGAAATAAGAAGAAGAGAATCGGTTCGTGCTACATTATCGACAAATTTAATCCAGTTAGTTAATTTTGTTTTTAAAATCTATATTATTTATAAAATAAAATGAATAATATAGACGATAAATTTTAATTTGTTCGATTTATTAAAGCGATTAATTAATTAATATTATTGAGTTCGAATAAAATTTAGTTTAAAAAATAAATTATCTTGAATTTAAGAAGAATATATAATATGTTAGGTTTAAAGAAGAAGATTCAAACAAGGTATTTTTTTGTTGTTATTGTTGTTTTTAACCAATTTTTACTTGTTTAAATTAAATTAGTTACTTAGTAGATTATTTTTAGATTAAATTAATGTTTATATTAAATGTAATCTTTAAATTGAATTCGTTATAATATTGTCATTATTAAACATTTAATCTAGTAAACTAATTCGTTTCAATTAGTTGTATGTGTTTCTTATTTGTGTTGAATACTTAGATGTAGTTAATAGTATTTTTTTTTTATTCAGTATTTCCCTCCAAGCAGTAGTAGCTTTATGTGTTATTATATTATGAATGTTATTAAATTTTGTTGTACAAATTCGTTGAAATGGCAGAACAAAATCAACTACTTCATCTTGACGCTCAACATATTTCTAGTCATTTGGAAGCAATGGTGTTATTATTATTTAATAAAATATTATAATTGTTTATTAAATATTAAAAATATTAATGTTTATTTTAATGATTAATTGATATTAATTTCATGAATATTATAATTATAGGAAGATGAGTAGCGAGTCCTCCGTCATCGGATTAATATTCCCGCTAAGCCATACCCTTTTATTGAGGATAACCTGGAAGAGGTTGGATTTTATTATGTTACATTTGTTCGGGAGTATAAGTTGGTCCCGGGTTTGATAAGTGCATTGATTGAACGTTGGAGGCCAGAAACACATACATTTCATTTACCGTGCGAAGAATGCATGATAACCTAGAATATGTGGCCTTACAACTCGGGGTTCCAACAAATGAGATATCGGTGGGGATGAGAAATGATTATAATAATGTGGAAATACTTTGCAATGAGTTTCTTGGGCAGACGTCAGTAAGCCCTAATTTAAAAGGGTGGCGTTTGAAGTTGTCGTGGTTGGAGAATCAATTTAAACTCCAAGAAAATAATACCGAAGAAGAAATTGTACATGCAACTCGAGCATATATCTTACAGTTGATTGGGGGAGTTTTGATGCCGGATAAATCTGGTAATCTAGTTCACACACAATATCTCCCGTTTTTGAGAAATTTTGAGAATACACGTCAATACAGTTGGGGATCTGCAATATTGGTGTTCTTATACCGTGATAT